ACACAAAGGGAGCAGAGTTCAGGAGAGGACGACACAGCAGAGTCAGGAAGAGGGACTGGAAACTCAACACCGTTCACTGCTTCACCTGAACAAAGTCCAGTCCTCAGAAATAGCTCATCGTATTTGTGAACTGCTTAAAAATGCTGCCAACATAAAATCTGATGTACACAAAGTTACTTGAAGTATGATTAGCTGACCCCCTTTAATTTATCTTTTGTACTGAATGTTGTTGTTTTTTTTATTTATGTACATTTCTGACTTTATGTATTTGACTGAAAATCTTTGTAATTTCAATAAATGAATGCACTGTAAATAACTTTTTGAGACAAAATGTCAAAATGTAATTTTTTATGCACCTGCTGTTATTTATACACTGCTGATATAATAAACTTATTCAAAATGGAATTTACAGATCACTCTTTATAATGACATGACCTGAGTGTATTGGAAGAATACATTAAGGTAACTGTTTTTTCAGAACTTAAAATGAAGCAAAAAGGAAAAGTAAATATACATCATAGAAACGTGGAATATAAAAGTTTATTAGATAATGTATGATCATCAGTAGAAAAAAATGTATGTTGATGCACTTCGGGATACACAAATTGAAAGTTTTAATTTCATACTTATTTTTAAGCCCCAACATGCCCACGTCCAATCACATAGAACTTTTCACTTAAGTTCTTGTACTGAAACTTCTTCTCAGGCCTGTGTCACTGTCCTTTCACATTTTTGTTGCACCTGTGGGTGGACAAATAACCATTATCATCATCAATTTCACAGAGTTTAGCGATGGCATATACAATTATTCCTTGTAAAAGCTCCAAACCTACTTCAGGGTGAATGGAGATCTAATTCACCACAGTAATTGAAGGCATCATGTAGGGTCATTAACAAAGAGGCCCTGAACATCACAGCCAACATTTCATTTCATTTCATGAAACCACAAAGGGTATCAACCCTTTTGTGCAGAATTTTTCTAATTACTTGAGTGATATTAATTAACAGAAAGATAAAATGTCCCATTATTTGATATTAAACTGACCAAGCACTAAAATATGACGTAAAACAATTCATTAACTGTGAGCAGTTTCCACCCACTGCCACAAGCTGTGTCAGGAGTGAGATCAAAGACCACAAAGTGTCCATCATCTGTGAAGCTGGACACCATGTTGTTTGTAAAATTCTGCAGCCCATTATTTTCATTTCAAACTGTTTTGCGTTCTATCACTTCCAAAATGTGTGCAACATATCAGAAAATCCTGTGAGGCTGTTGTGTGGATAACCACACACTGTGGAAATATCCTCTGATGATTTATAAATGAAAAATGACTGCACAGGACGGTACAGTAAATCAGTAGATTTATATTTAGCATGTGCATCTGTGGAGATTTCCTTAATTTAAAGGGTCGATTCAGTCTTTATTAAAAATCNAGAGCACACAACAAAGATGACAGTTTGGTCCAAAATATCCAGCTACTTAATGTGATACACTGTATTGAGGCTAAAAGCCCAAACTGGAAAGTTCTGCTCTTTCATCTCACTAAACACAGAAACCTGAGAGTCTCTGGTTCTGTCACAAACAGCCTGGTTGTCGTGCGACAGCAGTAAAAGACAGAGACCACTAGCTTCATTCAGCTCATCTGCTCTGAAGACTGGAACGTGGCAGTTGTCCAGACAACTAAGCATTTCTGTCCATAATTAACACGTTGATATTTACCCCAAAACAGGTGCAGTTTTGATTCTTAGTCATTCTCAGAGTTGTAATTACAGCGTTTTTATTTAAAAGCAAGTGCAGATATTCAGCCCATGTAAAAGTATCATCATTAGTACATGATTAAGTTGGAGGTTACATGTTATCGTCTTTGTTCTTGTCCCTTATAAAGTAAATGAAAATAAAGTCTTACCTGGTGAAGGCACGTTGTCAGGTGAACAGATGAGTTGTTCTGAAGAAGGAATGAAAGTTTGCCATAAATAAGACTTCCCCATGCGTAGGTGGAGTTGCTGAAAATTCCCCCACTCTATCTTACAGTCTGCAACCTGAGAAGTGACATCATTGCCCTGCACGTTGGACAATAAAGTACCACTCCTTCCTCCTCCTCTTCTAAGGATGGTGATGCTATTTATGACATTGAAGATAATGACCAATGACCAATGTGGAAATCCCTCCTTTTGACACAATACATTTTTACTGTGAATTTGCCTTTCCTTCCCTGTTCCTCCCTGGCTAGTATTTGTCACCATTGTGAGTCCTGGATATATAAGGCAGGTAACCTCTCAATCAGAAAAGCATCCTTCGCAAACCCACTGCACCAAAGAGAAAGAAGAAAGAAGGTCTACCTGACAGAAACGCCAGACTGAAGCCATGATCTCCACACTGCAGGTAAAGTTGGTTTTGTATTTCTTTTTAGATTAACATGAGCTGTGTAGATGACAGAATTTTTATTCATTTCTGAGTCTAAAGTGGACTACTGGAGACACTCAAAAGTGTTGGACTTCAGGCTAGCGGAGGATTTTATACAAAACTCCAGAATCATCATACAACACATACTGCATAGGTGTTCTTTGTGAGCACATGGTAGAGTAGAATTTAACAGAACTCTTGTGAAGTGTTGAGCAGATTACTCACACTGCACCACACCTGTTACAGCACCATCACCAGCACAATGGCTCTTTCAAAACAGGCACACCGGCTGAGTGATATTCATTAGAGTGATGCCAATGTCCACTCTGAGTGTGACAAAGAAAAAGCAGAAGATGACTGTCAACAGCCAGTAATAGATCTGAGATGTTTTTTTGTTTGTTTTCTCTTTTTTCTTTTCTTTTTTTTTATTATTACATTTCCCTAATAGTAGTTTTATAGCATATTTTGCTCTCTTTGTCCTGCAGAAAACCATCAGACACATGAAGGCTGTCAGAGGACTGCATAAGTCTGCAGTGGAAGGTAAACTTTTTCTGTACTTAACCTCATTCTGCTCTCTTATTTTCTTAATATGTTTCTTTCTGGCCCAGTTGTTGCAGTTTTATGTATCCAGACAGCAGTTTCTCCTTTACTTACTACATCGTTTGCCTCTTTGCATTACTTACTCATTTCCCCCTGCAGTCTTGAAGTACCCGGCGCCTGAGGACACAGTCACAGCCAGTTTTGGGAAGTTCATCAGTGAAATTAAGGCCCAGCACTTGTCTCCTGTGGTGCTCCACCGCAGTAAGAGGATGGTGCTGGACAGCATCGGAGTTGGTCTGATTGGAAGCACGACAGACGTGTTTGAACTGGCCCTGCAGCACTGCCAGGTGAGACGTGGGAAGTGAAGGGAAAAGGGATAAAAATAACTCTTTATGAACATCTTATCTGATACGAGGCAGTCAGACAGATGAAAGCAAGTGTCTGACCTTATATGAACAGTGGTTCTGAGTCAGAGCAAATTCTGTGTGTGGACAGATGAGATGAAGGGAAACATTACTTGTTGTTATAATACATTTAGACAAGAACATTTAATTTTTTTTCTTTGTGTTTGATGGCCTTTAGATTTTGACGTTTGTTACGTGACTTACAAAGAAACTTATTCATCATCTGAAGAGTGATTTGCCACAGCCAGTAAAGTTCAATGTGTATGCTTGTGTGAGTGATTATACACTCTGGGACTGTACGACGTTGCTTTAAAAATGTGCACCTGTGCTTACTTGTCTCCGTCTTTTCCCACCAGCACATGTATGCTCCTGATGACATCAGCTCTGTGTACGGACGCAGAGGCAGCAGACTCTCCCCAACACTGGCAGCTTTTGTCAACGGAGTGGCGGTGAGTGTAAATAAGTGGAACAGATGTGTCACTGTAGTCCCCGGTACACCAGACGTTTTCAGATGCAGCTATTTATACTCTACATTGGTGCAGTCTGGGCAGCAAACAACAGGATGGCTTCATGAAAATATTGAATTGACCCCAGAAATTTCCATCATCACATCTGCAAACATTGCTTGGCTTCTGTTGCTAAAGAAGCCGTCATGATGACAAGCCTATTTCTGCACCCTTGGATGGTTGAAGCTTGTTATGCAATTAAAGGGATTTTCCAATTAAAGTGAGTGAGTGGATGGGTGTAGGGAGCTAAATTACATCACATAAACACAGAGTTTACAACGTGTTATTTCAGGAAGCACAGCAACATCATGTCGTTGCTTGCAGTACAAAAAAAATCTATCAGTAGCCATCTAATTACATCAGCATTAAACTGATTCCTTGTTGTGCTATGATGTACAATTTTTTGATAATTAAAACCTTCTTGTTGCAGACTCACTCCATGGACTTTGATGATACGTGGCACCCTGCCACTCATCCCTCAGGAGCCGTCCTTCCTGCTGTGCTGGCTCTTAGTGACATGATGCCAGCTAACAATAAGCCCAGTGGTCTGGACTTCTTGCTGGCCTTCAACGTGGGCATTGAGATTCAGGGCCGACTAATGATGTTTTCTAATGAGGCCCACAACATTCCCAAGAGGTGAGTGCCTCTGAGCATGAGTCACGTTGGACCTAGATACTGTAATTTATAGGCTAATTGCAGCATTTCTGTTGTACTTGGCCTCTGAAAATGATCTTATCATTGATATAAAGCCAGTTCTTTATTGGCAATTTTTCATATTTTGAATGCTGCATGGGGAATAAGTAGTAAAAAAGATCCATGTTTGACTCCGTTGATGTCTGCACTGTGGTTTACAAGGAGGCCGCTGAGGTGTAATGTGCAGTCTTTCAGTGGTGTCAATGAGCTGTGAAAGGTGTGTTGCTATGTTCATCTCAGGGACAGCAGAGACTCTGTGAGTTGCATTAGCACAATTAGCCATGTGGAGGAACATTTCACAGAGGGCTCCATTTGGCATGTGTTTACACCAAGTCAAATGATTCACTTCATTACTGAAAATGACCAGAAATTTGTCTTCTATAACACCCATGAAATAAGCTGCATGTGGAGAAAAGAGAAGCTGTTTGAACACAGACCTTTGCTATAGAAATAATGATGCAGAGCAATTATTTAAAATGCTCATTTAGTCAAAAGCAGACAGTAACAAAACTCTTGATCCAAAACTCTTGACCTAAGACTCGTGTCTTTCTTTGTGGTCCCCAGGTTTCATCCTCCCAGTGTGGTCGGGACTATGGGCAGTGCAGCCGCCTGTGCTCGCCTCTTGTCTCTGGATCCCTCCCGGTGCAGTCATGCCTTAGCTATAGCTGCTTCTCTGGCAGGAGCCCCGATGGCTAATGCCGCCACTCAGTCTAAACCTCTGCACATCGGCAACGCTTCACGTTTGGGGCTGGAAGCTGCTCTGCTGGCCTCCCGAGGCCTTGAGGCCAGTCCTCTGGTCCTGGATGCTGTTGCAGGGGTGGCCGGCTTCAATGCTTTTTACGAAGACTATGTGCCACAGCCTTTAGGGTCACCCAGTGATGATGGCCACATGTTTCTGCTCGAGGAGCAGGACATGGGCTTCAAGCGCTTCCCTGCCCATCTGGGAATGCACTGGGTGGCAGATGCTGCGGCCTCGATCCATAAGGTTCTTGTGGGAGTCGGTCCTGGCACCGTCTCCCCAGCTCAAGTCCAAGACATCCTGCTCAGAGTCCCCCAGTCTAAATACATCAACAGGCCTTTCCCAGAGTCTGAGCACGAGGCACGCCACTCCTTCCAGTTCAACGCCTGCAGCGCTCTCCTGGACGGCGAGGTGACCGTGCAGTCCTTCAGCCCTGCTGCCATGAGCCGCTCCGACCTGTTCTCTCTGCTGAGTCGTGTTCAGGTGGAGCATCCCAGTGACAACCCCGCTAATTTCAACCGCATGTACGGTGAAGTCCAGGTTACACTCGTCGGGGGAGACATACTAAAGGGACGCTGTGACACCTTCTATGGTCACTGGCGAAACCCTCTGACCAACGAGAGTCTGAGGAAGAAGTTCAGGCACAACGCGGAGGTGGTGCTTCCCTCAGAGAAGGTTGAGAGGCTGATTGATGTGGTGGAGGAGCTGGACAGACTCGGGGACTGCAGCGCCCTTCTGTCACAACTGCAGTGAACTTTTGCAGATATACACAATATCAGGAAAACAGAAACGATTGCACAGAAATACATCAAAAGACATTTTACCTGAATAATTTTTGCAAAATGTATCTAACATGACATATTTGTCACCAGCCAAATAAAAACAGTAACCTCTATCAGTTTGACTATTAGAAAAAGTAGAGGCACTATATGATAAGCACCTGTTGAAGCACTTATAGAAGCACTTATAGAAGCACTTATAGAAGCACTTATAGAAGCATTCTTAGATCAGTTCCCTGTAAGTTTCAAATATTTTCGTAGACCTGTCTCCTGTACCTACTGAAATATTTTTTGTGCCATATTTATCCCATGTATATTGTAATTAATGTATATTTTAAATGTATTTTTTATCTTTATTTTATCGAGAAAACACTATTGTGTTTAAAATGTGATCAGGTTACACTGCAAAGGAAAAAACAACAGCAGTTTTATGTACTGAATATTTTCAGATATCAATGTTATACATGTATTAAGTGTATGCAATATATTGTATTTTAAAGAGTGTGTTTTTGCTAAACAATGGAAATGGTGTGAAATGTCCATTTAAATTTCACTTTAGATTCTTGTAATTGCATATCTTTGACTTTACTGAAACATGTTTTTACACAAATGTAGCATTTATGTTGGTGCGTTTTCATTTTAATAAAACTACTCAAAGCAAATTTGAATGTGTTCTTCAGTTCAGTGAAAATGTTTAGATTTGTTCCTGTGAGTACTTAAACACCTACATTTAAACACACACACATATATATATATACACATATGCACAATGCATAAAAGGAAGAACAGCACAAATATTTGGATTTGGGGAGAAAATTTGCGACTATTGAGGTTATAAAGAACAGCACATTGGTTTGTCCTTTGGTTAATCGCTTCCAGCAAACTATTTAAAGCCAAGTGCCTGTGCTGCTGTTTGTATTAGAAGGGCAAACATCCTCATGTCCATCAGCTGAAACTAACAGGATGTCTGCAGAGTAAGAAAAGTCAAGAAGAGTAAAAAAGTTTTACAATGGGAAAATTTGGAGTGCAAACAAAAGAGAATATTTTCACTACAGAGCTGTGCTGGGAAGGACCACTGGTTTCCTCATTCCTGGCTGTGGTCTTAAGTTAAAGTGTATTTTAGAGACACAGTGACCCTGTTTCATTGGACTCAGCCATGCATGGGACACAGCGAAACCAAAAAGCCTTGGCCTGTTGGCATAGCTGACAATTAATTCACAAAAAACTACTTTGCTAAAGGTTAATAATGAATGAAGAACTAAGGACACCACTAAGGTAATTATTAAAGGTAATTCTAGGTCAAAAATACAGAAGAAGAAGAAGCTGCACAGTAACTACCTAAAGTTTATTAACTTTGGTCTCGTCTTGTACAGAAAGAGCCCCTCAACTTGGAGGTTGTGCATTATTTCATCAACTTTCATCTGTAATTCATCCTGGCATATTCAAAATTATTTGTAAATATTTGGCATCAATAAAACCTAAAGTTCTACTATGAAGAATATTTTGAAATAAGAAACCAATAAGCAGGGAAAAAGCTCTTACAGCAGCTTCACATCGGGACCTAAAGCTCATCTAACTGTGTTAAACTGTCAGTATCGTGCATGCACGGTAATGACAGGTACAGCATCTTTAATGCATTTTAAACTATACAAATTGTGTCTTTATAACTGCAGCTCTGGATGGTTGCACAATAAAACAACGTGAGTTCTAATAATGGTAATTACTGTTAATAATTATTTGTCCCACTGCCTAATTTGTGCTGTATTGTAAAATTAACAAGAATTTAAAGTTGTAATCGTGTTTGTTTATCATTACGGGCTTAACAGTGATGCAGTGGTTAATTACTACTTACTTGATAATTCCAATTCGGCCATACGTGTAAGTTTGCATGCTTGTCTGTTTCTTTGTGTTGCCTACGTGACAATCTACGATAAAACAAGTGTAGCCGATGGATGGATGGATGGATTGACCGAGCTTCTCTACAGTTTCACTATTGGGATCTTTCCCTGTGTGATAATCAAAGCAATAAAGGCAAAGCTTTCAGATGTTCTTTTACAAGGGCAAAGGGAATAACGAGTGACCAACTGACCGTAATGTGCAATAGGTGATAAAAATACTTTTGAGTTTTGTCGTCAACGGGGTAATCAGGAAATACTGGCACTGTAAATCACTGCAAAGGCCTCAGACGATATGACCTAAATATAAAACACAACCCCAAGATGACTGATCTCATCTTTAAAAGCAATAAAATGCAAAGAAGGAAATAAGCTATGGACACATTTCTGGGAAAGCATGTGTGCTCAGGGATAATCGTGAGGACCGTTATCATCAGCATTCCTGTGGACACTTCCTTCATCGCTGTGTTTCATTACAAAGAAAGTTTACGGCAAATGAAGACCAAAAAAACCCAGAAAGCATAAGCATATCCTCCTCTGTGTTAAAGTGTAACATAACCAGGAGATGTTTGCATTGGAAAACGCTTAACAAAAGGCAGGGACCACAAAAGGTGTGAATTGCACGTCTACAGTTTTTATGCTGTCTCCACCCAGAGCAAATGAAACCATACAATAGTGGGGTAACATCAGACGTCCAAAGTCTACAGTCTCTCTACGTATACGGTATAGAGGTGACATAGATGGAGTTTCCGCATAACAATAGCTGCCCAGATTGTTACTGATTGGCAACAGTAAGCCCCAGTGTCAGGGTTTACTGTCAAGAAATGGAGAAATAATGGCCTTTCCGTCTCCAGACAACAGATAAGGCACCTTACATGCTCCGAAATACTCCTCGTGCAGTGTCAGAGTGAGTACAACTAGTAACGAGGTCAACAGTGGAATCTTGTCCCTGGTCTGTGAAGACAACATGTACAAAGGTGGGTGAGGGGGAATTCACTGGGGACAATAAAAGGTGCCTCTCTATTGTGCGTCATACTCTAACATTCAGCAGAAATTGTGAAAGAGGTTAAATTGTGAACTGAAGGCTGGGAAAGTACCTTTGCAAAGGTGTGGGCGTTCCTGAGAAGATCACATTTTTAGTTGACTTGTGAAATGAAAAGAAGAAAATACAATTCTTGCAGCATACGGAACATACAGCTGTACGGCTTTTTTATTTTTATCATTATAATTATTATTAAGTAAGAAACAGATAAACATGGTAATTGTGTCATACTTAAAAAATATGGGCATCCTTCTAGGCCTCAGGACAAGTTCAGACTTGTAAGGCAAGTCAACAATTGTCTCAAGGGACTACCAATGGATGGTGAAAATAAGAGGTTTATCTAATTTTAAAAAGTTAAAATAGAAATAAAAACAAAAAACGTAACGCTTATTTATATTGGAGAAGGCTCAAAAAACAGAATTGGGTACCCTTCATAATCTCCAAACTTTACTCAGTCGTTAGGCTTTAATTGACTCCTTAGGACATGTAAGGCCAGTCAAGAACTGTCATTAAGATTTACCGGCTGATGACTTTTCAAGAGCTGGTATATTTTCAGGCTCTTTAAACTCTACGGTGACAATCAAAAGTCAGTGGACCCTCTCATCAGCTGACCGAGGATCTGGAAATGAAGCTACTGATGCTACAAAGTTGGAAAGGGTTTTAAAATAATGTCAAAGTGCTTCAGATTTTGTGTCCAAAATGTCATTTGGAGAACAGATGCCAGTTAAGGGTACCTGTGGAAGTCATTAAGGTTACATTGATGGGCTTGTGATGTCTTTTTTGCACTGGGGACAGTGTGTCCCTGCAGCAAGAGGTTTTAAAAAAACATCCCATAATGTAGTAATATAGAACGTGATGTTTACACAAATACATGCTCAAGCACCCTGTTAGCACCTGGAAACTCTCCATTACCATGAGCACATATGGTACAGTACACAGCAAAGCTTTGGGGCACATAAAAAAAAAATGATGTATTTTGTGAGATCATCCTTTGCCTTGAAAACCGCACCAGTTCTCCATTTTAAACGAGTTGGTCAAGGTCCTTTGTATGCAGGTTGTTTCAAGCCTCTTGGAGAATTTACCTCAGTTTCTCAGCAGATTTAGATTTAGGATTTCTCTTCACGTAGTCAGCAGGACACTGATGTTGAGATCAGTGCTCTGTGGGGGACAGACCCTCTGTTGCAGGACCATGTGTTCATCCTGTTTCTGAAGACAGTTTTTTTTATAACTCTGGCTGTATGTTTGGAACCACTGTCATGCTGCACAATAAATGTAGGATCAATTAAATGCCTCCCTAATATTCTTGTTGAAAAATAATCTGAAGTGCATTAAATATTTGCACACAAGTTTAGTTTGTATGTATATGGAAAAAGTGAAAAATCCATCCAATTGTATATTTACAGTCTTACACTGACCCTGTGATCAACGTGCTGGAACCTCCCTCACCGCTTCTACAACAGCTCAGATAAAAAGATTTTATTACTTCCCTTGTACTATAAACACATATTAGGCTTTATCTTTTCCTGGGAAACTGATGAGCACTGTTTCACGGTTAAACTGATTAGACTTTTCTGTATTCGGACATTATTAAAGATTAGCCAGAACAACTGAAACACTGCAAACAACAGTCACCAGTCAGACAACAATATAATCTACAGAGTTATTTGTGTCTGAGAAACAAAAATACAGAGCTTCAGTATGTGTTAGAATCTTTTATTTCCTTATGAAAAGCAAAGTTTCTTCTAACTGTTCGATTTTTTTTCACAAAATTAAAAAAAATAATCAAAGGTATCCATTTGATTATACAGGTAAGCATTTTTAAGTGTTACTTTTTCACTTCTCAAGAGTGTCAGAAAACATTTTCAGCACACTCCTGAAATTGAAACCTAGACAGAACTACACAGCCAGCTGTTACCAACACTGTCTAAATCAAGTGCAGGTGTTGGTTAAATTATACTCATTATGGTCCAAACATTTCATAGCTAAAACACTAATTGTGCGATGTAGGCCAGACGAACAGAGAGGGCGGTGTGCTGGTGAGGTCTGGATGTGTTTTCACATTCTCGCAAACAAGGCCAAAGAAGTCTCAGGAAGAACCCTCTGCTGTTGCCTGGTTATAATTTGACACTTCAATGAGATTGTGGTCGGGATCTCTAAAGTACAGTGAGGTGATGGCCCCCACAGCCCCACTTCTCTCTACTGGACCCTCTTCAATCTTGACTCCACAGACCTGCAGAATGTAAAGAGACACCATAAAGTGAGCTTTTTAGTGGCAGCTGACTGTATTTAAATTGGGAACACAAGGTCATGCAGAGAGTCAGCAAGAGGTGAAACTGTTGTCAAAGAGTGGCCATCTTGCAACACTAAGATTGAGTACCTTCAGATGTGCAGCCACCGTAGCCAGAGGGGTTTTGGTGATGAGGCAGAGGTCTGCAGAGCCTGAGGTTGGATGCTTAGCTTTCGGTTCAAACTCCTTGCCCAGCTGGTGAAGGTTAAACTTCTGCTGCCCAAAACTCAGAGCTTTACGGTTTCCCTTGAAAAAGCAGACACGACATGAGTGTTAAGAAGTGTCTCAAAGCTCGATATGCAATCACAGACTGTATATAAAAGGTACACTCTGTACTGTACACACAGTCTATGGACGCTATCAGCTGGATCACAGTCGTAGAGTGCCATCTACTGGACGCTTTCTTTAAACCAAAAGCAGCTGTACTTCACTTTCACTAATCCCTTCTTAAAAATGCACATATAATGACAATATTACTGGCAATTTAGAAATAAACAAAATGAATCATTAATTTCATTAAATTCAGTAAATGTGTCATTATAATTAACTAGCAATATTTAATCTTACCACATAATAGTGATACTAACACAAATAACAAAACCTTTAATGTTGTGACACATACCTTAAACGTGATCACCTCCATGCCGAGAACTGACGAATAAAAGTTGATGGTGTCCGGGACGCTTTTCACAGTTAGCACCAAGTGATCAAGATGGCTCACTTCAACCGGACAAGTTGTTTTGAATCTGACACCTCCTAGTGTTTGGAGGGAGACAATCTGCAAGAGGTAACACACATGAACTCCGAGCATACGTGTGGATTTCAGAGGAAACACGGTGGACATGTTCCTCTCTATACAACTTGTGCATTTGTCATAACCCAAATAAAAACATGAAAAAGCAAAGGACTTTTATTTTTATACAGGCCTTTTCATTTTCTGTATCAAAAACAAAAATGTACAGAATGTGTCGTTTTGAACATGAGCTGAAATCTTGAAGTTTGAACTATCAATAAGCTATTATTTTTTTAAAATATTAAATAAAATGAATGAGTTTATCATTGGGCTGCAAGGTGGCGCAGCTGGTTAGTACTGTACTGTACTGTACTGTTGCCTCGCAGCAAGAAGGTTGCCGGTTCGCATCCCGGTGGGAGCACTGGGATCTTTCTGCGTGGAGTTTGCATGTTGATTCTAAATTGTCCGTAGGTGTGAATATGAGTGTGCTTGGTTGTCTGTCTCTAAGTGTAGCCCTGTGATAGACTGGTGACCTGTCCAGGGTGTCCCCTGCCTTCACCCTAAGTCGGCTGGGATAGACTCCAGCCCCCCCGCGATCCTAATGAGGACTAAGCGGTGTGTAGATAATAGATGGATGGAGTTCATCATTGGAATGAAAAGGTGCCACGTGTACATTTTAGGAGGCTCTTTCCCCGAGTAAAAGACACATATAAGGACAGAAGATCAACATAAAATCATATCAACATGCATGTGTTGAGACGATAATATTAAATAAGGGAACGCTGACCTTCAGGAGTTTCCAAGCAGCACAAAATGCCTGAAAGCCTCACTGGTATTGTACTCGTACTCGTATTGTACTGGTTTCTGAAATTTGTGTCTTCCATTACTTAAAATATTTTCCCCTTGATAAATATAATCAGAAGGCTCTCTGGTTCTTCAAAGCACCATTACCAATTGAAGAACCTCTTTATTTAGGGGACGGCTTAAATTTTACAACAATTATTTGGTTTGGTGGCAGGTAATAGCATCAAATAGGAGCTGCAATGATTACTTTCATCATGCTTGCATGATCGCGTGCATTAAGCAGACTAGTTCCTCAATTAATCCCAATTTTCTTCATTAATCATTTGCTCTACAAAACATCAGAAAACAGCAAGAAATGTCTGTCACGGTTTGCCACATTGCAAGGTGACATCCTGAAATATGTTGTTCCGTCTGACCAGCAGTCCAGAACCAAAAATATTAAATGTGTTATATTCTCACAATGGACTTCTTTTTGTTGTTGTTGCTTCAAAATGACTGTCAAAAAGTGTTAAAATAGCACCAAGGGGATCCACAAAGAAAATCTTGCTGCGAAAAGTCATATTTGGCTGCAGTTAGGACATAGATCAATGCTGACAAGGGACAAATTCGTGCATAAGGAAGCAGCAGAGGCACTCAGAGTGTCACCCTCAAATGCTAAACTAAATGTACGCCAGCAGGATTGTAATAAAAATGAACCTAAGAGCTGAACTATAAACACAGAAGTGAATGGAGCTGAACAGCGCCGCTCTGTGGTGAATGTCAGCTACGTCCAGTAAACATGGAAAAGGTGAAATTCTCGCGTAAATTAGCAAAAACGTCCATGTAGCCCTGCTGAAAGTGAGCTACTGCCACCGGTCAGTCCACAGACATAACCTGTAGCCGTCGCCATTTTTTTATTGTCCACTACTGTAGCTACACTTCTCCAAACGAAAGTAAAAACTGCTGTTGCGTTCAAGAAATGCTTGTCCAGGCAAAGTTGGTGTGTAAACAGTGACAATAACTTGAGCTAACTTGGTATATTAGGGCATATATTTACCTGAAAACGCCACAAACGGCTCCCTGCTGCCCGGAGCGCCATCCTCGCCGACTGACACCGGTACTTCCGGGTTCTCCACCTCTGAGCCCCGTGAACCGTCTGCTGCACCGCTCTGACCGCAGCTGTGGGTTTTTACAGGTTTCATTATTATTCAGCAGCACTTCTAGGTAGCCACAAGCTATTTTTAGCGAGGTTCATACACATAAACGATACACTTTTTTATTATGATTATTTTTTATCTGTCAGTAAGGTATATGAATGAGGATTTGTATTAATCACACCAGTAGGGGTGCTCATAATAACACTACTACTAATGCATCATACACCTTGATAGGTACACGTGTGCAATTTAAAGCAGCTTAATACAACTGTTCTGCCATGATATCCGCATTTTTTGACGCTGTCACATGTCTCAGTAATGAGATCAAATTGTTGTTAGTGTATGTAATTGGAAGGACAAAATACTAGAAACAGCAATCCACTACAACACCTTTAACTGTGATAGCAATAGTATACATCAAAACTATAAATGCAGCATGCAATATTTCATTAAATGCCATCCATTCCTTTTAATGTTAGAGTATTTGTTGCTCTGAAACACTGCATCTCTTCAGCAGGACGGATGCAATGAAACAACCAACAGTGCACTATATTGGAAATACTAATGGGCAGATTATCAGTACAGTCATAGACCAGAAACTAACTCAGTAAGGAGTTAAGCATCGGCAACACACGCAGGCCGATGCTCGTTTGTGGAGTGATGCCTTGCTCTTCCTGAACGGCGAAGTTGGTGGACATTTTAGGGGAGAGAATCACACGTAAATCCAGAGCATCATGTTTGAAACTTTTTCTTGCACGACATAACGGTTGAGTTGTGGACATCCAATAGCCGGTTCTCGTCTTCATCTTGTCATCTGCGGCATCTTGTCGTTTTAATAAAGCTGCATTTTACGCTGACCTTTAACAGTCGCCGGTTACAAATCTGATCATTGTCCTTTTAAGCCGTACCTGAATAGGATGTGGATTAACTCAAAGGTCAAGAATTTGTCACCTGATGAAACAGCTCAATAATGTCCAGTGCACAGTTGGCTAATTGTATCCCTTTTCTAAACATAGCAATAGAAATGAGATTTCTTCAAGTAAGAAAAGAACGCCATTTGCTGCATGCTGCATTTATATTTTTGTTCATTGTGAAGTTGAATTTACACATTTCTAAGTCAAAATATAAATTTTGTAGTGATGGTTTTCACTGGATGGTACATGTGTACCTAAGAAGAGCAAGTGTGACTGACTTCAGTGCCAACAACAGTGGAAAAGGAAACACAAACTTGCTCTTCACGCCACCATTCATTTAGGTTGATAAGATCAGTGTTGGACAGCCATGCAATAAATTACATATTTTGTAAAAAGCTTCAATATAAACCAGTAGAAGAAAAAAAAAAATTAATGGAATATAGTTTAAAAAAAACAACTCCTAAAGCCAGCACCTCGCATGCAGCATAAGATTATCAAAAAGCACAATATGGGTACAGAATGCATACCTGCAATGCATTTCATAGCATAACAACTTGTTTAATTCAGCGGTTAGTTTCATTTAACACCCAGTTAACATACTGCACTGGGTGGGTCACAGAACAAGGCCAAAACGAAAGCATGGCCTAAGAGGGAACATACATTTCATTTACATGTTTATGGTATTCAACAACGTCTTGCATTCAAACTTTTATGTCCCACAAAGGGAGGTAATAATTGTGGCTAAGACATCAAACAATGAAACAAGAAACATGACAGGATGGCATTAATAGTGATGCCCTGTAGCCAGTGTCCCCCGTTCATTAACAGTGCTATTAAAACCTACAGAACTTCTAAATAAAATAAAATGAACTTCAACACATAAAAGGTATTAAGTCTTCATTTAAGATCTTAGCCATAAACAACAGCTTTTAACAATATCATACACTTACATCATGGTTTGTATTTCCCTACTTTCACTTTTGCATGTATTGCACACCGATATGGAGCATTTGCTCATGAGGCAGAAGGAGGGCACAATGGGCAAGCGTCTTGACTTTCTGTTGAAGCTAAGACTAAAGGACAACGATGTGAATTTTTTTCAGACTTGGTAAGTGTCCAACAGTCAAACCTTTGGATTAATAACTTAAGTTGTATTTTGTACAAAGTGGACTTACAGGTAAAGAAAAACTATTCTGCTTTGACTTATGAAGGCAAGTCTACATTTTATTTTTAGGTCAATCTAGTCACTTCACTCTGCCAATACCAGAACTTAATTCATCAATCAGTAATTAAAGAAATCCATAAAGTTAGTGGAAAAAAACAAAGAATCCAGCAAGTAGCTAACAGATGATTGGACAAATGATTACTGTACATTAAAAAGTGAATATCCTTTTGTGTATGTGTGACAAGGGAGAAAAAAGCAAAAGCAACTATATTTCAAATTCTGATATCATGCCTGTTAGTATATTTTTAGGTGGGGAAATTCATAACTTTAAATCAACTCAGTATCAATTACCAATATTGAGACATCCCTACTTTCTGATATGATAATATCTCCTTATCATTGTAATGACCAGGAAAATACTAATGCTATATGACTCCAAAATAAATTTGCACTTCGGAAAATAACCTAATTAAATTCTGTTTCCCTTATGCTAGAACATCCTTGTGTTTTTTTTAAAGAATTCAGCACACACTGAACATTTTAAATGGTACATGCCACCCCATAATAGTAAATTGTGTCTTTCAGGTGAACAAGAAGACAGAGTGCAAGTCACACTGTAAATTGCAAACCAATTTATGCCCTACATTTTTTGGACAACACAATCTGTAAGTGATTCTGCTGTGTACACTGATTCAACCTTTAAAAAAAAAACAACAACAAAAAAAACAAAAAAAAAAACAAATTCAGGGATGCTCTGAGTAATTGCTGCCAACATCACCCAGATCTTCATATGAGATAATTGACATTCCAAAACCAATTCACTGATACAAAGTATGATTCAAAATCTTTTTTTTTTACAAGCTTATTTACAGCTAATACTTTGAACTGGTGTAACTAGGAATAGTACCTATAACCAACTAATGGTATATAAGGCGCCATTTAGGAGCTAACACAAAAAAAATGATCTGAAGTGCCTGAACTACCCTGCAGGTGTGCAGCATTTATAATCAGAGGATTCTTTAAGAGATATAGGCCTGCTTGCACGCATGGCTTGATGCAATGCAACACTGCATGGTTGCTACAGGTTGATCAACAGCATGCATTGCTTGTGCCCACCTTTGGACTGCAGTAATAAATGTCCAACTTGAGACCGAATATGTCCCGATGTCACTGTATGGAGCACCCCGAATCAAACCTGTGACCGCATTATGATCAAACTCACAAATGGTATGAAGGAAATACATTTCAACAGTGGAGACGTTTCCTCAAAGCCTCTTATGGACTTGGGATATAAGATTACTTAGGTTGAGAGAAAAGGCCTGAAGTCTGTTAAGAGTTACACTACACTCTCTCGGTTGGCTGACACCAGGACAGCCCTGCGGCAGATGGGGCAAGTGGAGTTTTCAGACAGCCAGCGATCTATGCAGTGGACATGGTACTCATGTGAGCAGGGAAGCTTACGTAGCTTGTTCCCTTCTGCATACTCCGTTATGCAGACACTGCAAGTCTTCAAGGCGTCACTCTCACCAAAGTTGCGCATGGAGAGGTTGTCAATCTGTTCTTTGGTCAGCCCCTGGGGCTGGTCCTCATCATCATCATTTAGGAGAAAGAAGTGAGCAAGCCGCAGGAAGGGCAGTGAGCTGGGCTCCTCAAGGCTGATAGGTGGTCTGGGTCGAGCCCTGCCACCAGAGGCAGGGGGACCAGTGGAAAGGCCTTCATCCATATCAGTCTCAACTGTCCTTCCCCTGACTCCAGCAGCAACAGGTTGTTCGTCAACATCAGCAGCAGGACCATCAGCTGCAGTAGCATCTGGGTTGTTGAGAGCTTCCAGGTCCGCAGGTGTGTTTGCTCCACGGTTTGAATCTGAAGAGTCAGAGTCTGAATCCATGAGGTAGCCGAGCTCACCAAAACCAGTCATAATCTGTCGTATCATCGACTGGAGAGCCATTGAGGTTGCCTCTCCCAAACCTGCATCAGAGATTCTTCGGATAGGGATGCGAATCGTGCTGACGTAGGTCCTCACACCAGCACGCTCTGAGCGAGAGAAAGTCCTACGAAATCCGCCACGCTCACTCTCATAAAGAAATGTGTTGTTGGAGTTCTGAGAGCGTGAGCGAGTACGACTGGCGATGCTGTCTCTTTGCCGATATTCACCTGGGCGCACACGACGCACCTGGAGATCAAGCATAATAGTCGGGGGACGACGTCCTGCAGCTCCTCCTCCCCCCCCAGCAGCTTCTCCTTCCTGAGATCCAGCATTTTGGGCCTCTGGGACCGATTCTGCACCAGCCCTAGATGGCTGAACATCACCTTCTGTGGTGCTTTGCCTGGAAAGAACATGTTGTCGAGTCCGAGAACTGCCCTCCACTTGAGGCACAGGAGAAGCATTGGTGGAAGAACTGGGGCTTTGAGAGCTGTAAGCATGTCGCGGATTAGGGAGACCATCAAGCTGATCCAAGTTGAGAGGGGAGCGGCTTCTGGCTAAACGTGCCCTAGTCCTGCGTGGTTCTGGACTACGACTGCGGGCTCTCCTTTGTCCTCTGCGTGGAGAAGGACAAAGTGGGGGTTGTACTGGCAGGGCAGCAGGTGAGCTGGGAGGTTCTCCTAAAACTTCTTGTGAAACAATCTCTTCTAGTTCAGGCTCAGGTTCCACTATGACAGCTAGCTCCTCTACAACCGGTTCTTCCACGACTTCGGTCTCCATGGGAACCTGTGGTTCAGCATTTGCCACAACTTCCTGAACCGCTGGAAGCGGTTCTGGAAGCTGTTCTGGAGACTCCTCCTGAGACTGCTCTGAAGAGTCTTCTGGAGACTGCTCTGGAGGGTCTTCTGAGGCCTGCTCTGGAGGATCTTCTGGAGACTGCTCTGGAGGGTTTTCTGGAGACTGCTGTGCAGGGTTTTCGAGAGACAGCACTGCAGAACCTTCTGAAGACTGCTCTGCAGACTCTTCGGGAGGCTGCTCTGGAGTGTCTTCTGGAGACTGCTCTGTAGACTGCTGCTCCCCTTCAGCAGCTGCTTGCTGTTCGGCCAGGTTGCGGTTCACACTGATTTCCAGACTGAAGCGAAAATCTCCACTGTTCGGGTTGGTCTGGCTTACAGCCCGCCATGACTGGTTCCCACGATGGCCTGTTCTGGTCGTATTTCCTGTGCGCCTCACCGTGTTCAGCCAGTCCAGGAGACTATCCCCACTGGCAGGATCCTCAGAGCTTTCAGGTTGTTCTGAAAATCAGCAAAATTGACAAATGATAAATCATATCGGAATTTGAAAACAAATTAAACAGTCAAAACAAAACAAAACGAATGAATTAAAGAAAAGGCAAACTTACCAACTGGATCTTCTGCACTTTCAGTACTGGGGGTGTTGTTCTGCTGTTCTGGACCATCTTTGATTTGCTGAAGTCTACTGAACAGCTCATCCTCTGTTACTTCTCCTGAAAGAGACACGACAAAAACATGTTGTTATTGACAAAGAAAAATACATCTCTGACATTCCATGAATACTTTTTTTTAAAGTTTAAGTTTTCTTTTCTCTAGTGTGACTACGTGGGAGAAAGACCCTGCTGGTGCGCCTGGAGGACAGTGACAGCTTAACGTCCTACAATAAAAGACCGTTTTGAAAATTGAATGCATACAGAGAGGGGGAGTTCACAGAGAGACACACAACATACAGCTACATATCTGTATATGTGTCAAAAAATAAATAAACAGGTTTTAATGTCTGTACTGTATTGGCTATTTGAACACAGCAACAGGACAATACTTAAAACCTCCGGACTTACCAGGGCATGCCACTGTCCATTCAATGCCCTCTCCTTGTCGGATGCGCCACTAAAGGATGCTCCGAACTTACATTGCCTCTCCCTCTGTCCTGGGACAGAAATGGATCGGACGTCTTCAATAGTCCACAGGCTGTTGCATTTTGAGCATGGTGACAAATCCAAAACTAGACATACCCAAGAGTCACTTTAATTTTAACTTCTCACTCTATTAGGCGAGCTAGACATGTGTAAAGATGGAAGAGGACAAATACTTTACAATGGGTCAAAAAATGTTGATAAAAATGTAATTATGATTTCAAAGTTAGCAAAGTTGGAAACTGTCTTTAGACACTACTTTTTAGTGCTGTAAAGTAAATACGTAAATATCTCAAAGTCCAATAATGTCTCAGCTCTATCCACTGGAGAAGGTGGATCTGGAATCTAGTATTCCTGACAGACAATGTTTAGTTTAATACAAGGTATTGTGACCTATTTACTAATTGTTAGATGGCTTTTTATTTTGAAGCACCTTACGTACAACAGATATGACAGATCAGAGCAAATCAAGTATTGATGTAATAATGTCTTGATTTAGGTTCATCCAAATCTATTAGCATATTGGTATATATGTAAAAATATGTTCCACCTTTCCACCTGCCAAACAGTTTGTGAGGGAGGCAAGGGATTTAGTACAGTACGTAGAAAGGGTAGCACAGAAAACGACAATGAACATTTCCACAGTCACAGATATCTCTCACAAAAGCCTGGTGTAATTGGATTTGAGTTTCATTACCTGGAGTGCCCAAAAGATTGTTGTCTCTCATAAGGCGATAGTCCTCATCACTGAGATTGTTGACAAACTGGTAGAAGGCCTCCTCCCTGTCCAGGCGGTCCAGCTGCCTTCTGCGCTGTGACTCTGGCTGGTCACTGCCATTCTGCTCTAAACTGTCAGACCCTTCCATTGATTCAGAAGGGAGGGAGGTCTAGGGATGTTCTCCAATCTTCAGCAAGATCCAGCTGTGGCAGGAAAAAACAGAGACATATCAAAATTAGATTGCTATCTCCTGCTTGCTCATTTTACATCAGATTCTAAAATGTAAGGGAGTAAAACGACAAAGATTTAGAATAGGATTATGTAACTGTGATTCACTATCAAAGGTACATGAAAATTCTTCAATTGACATCGTTAAGAATTTCTACAGGGAGTTTCTGACAGCTAGTATATTACCAACAACACGACGATGGGAAACCTCGGAGCAAACGTGATATCAAAGTGGAACACATTCGATATATGAGGAAAACACAGAGCTAGTAGCTAATGTTAGCACAGCTAGCGTCCACTGGTTACAAAGCAAACTGACATGCTAACAACATTTTAAATGCCACACTCGCAAGATGAGACACTGTCTAAATCGTAAAGTACAACATACTTTCCCTAATAATGTTAAGAAGTGCGTTTATGTAGTGGCAATAATAGATGCGAATACTGTACTGAATTGTGTGTTTTTAAGTCCTATGGGGAAGCAGTATGTTGGTCAAAGTCGAGATAAAAACAAAATGGCATCATCTAGCTTAGCTAACGTTAGCTAGCGACCAATTAGCATTGTACACGGTTGCCAACACTGATAACTTCAAACACTACTAGCTACAATGGAGGGGCTATTGTGTGTTGAGTGACGTGTAGATAAAATGCTAGACGGCTGGTCATGCTGTAAGTGTGATAAAATTTGTGTTGTCGCTTCAAAACAAACTTATTAGATGATCAAACATCCCCGGTCATGTTAGGCTAAAGCTAGTTAGCTTCCACGTTAACTAGCCGAGTGGCTAACTACATTCGCTACAAACAGGATACTGCCGTTAGCCAACTCTTAGCCATTAACTTCGTGTTTTCGATTACATTGATCTGACGTGAACTCTTTTAGCACAGATATCGATGTTGAGGGGAAGCCTAACGTAAACCCGATATTTGCCACGTATAATGTTACTAATGATCATTGAAACAAGAGGCTTTCGTTAAAACTATGCTACCGTTAGCATCACCGCAAGCTAACGAAGCAAACGACGTCAACCAGTGACGTTCACAGCCGAACCAAAGCTAAAATTAGCTAGCTAATGAGAATAAAGTTAATCAGGAGGAAAGTACAATCTGTCACTTAACCGCTGATACATTACCTGTTCGGTGATGTTAGTAGCAGTATAATCGTACCACCCAGTTGCTCTTTTAATAGTCTCTGAAAAACGATTGACCGTTTAGCTAAGTGCGATTTCAGGATTCCATTTTCTTTCTTGTAGGAAGGCTACAATGATTTTCCGGAAACTGCTACAACACGGATGTTTCTCCCCGAGTTTAACCCTACAGGTAGACAGAGAAGCTGCAATAACACAGGGCCAAATGGTTTGCATTTCAGCCTGCCATTCGCAGCGGAGGAGGAGGGGTGGGCTGTACGCGCTGTGACAAGTGCTGCTGCCTGCAAGACGCGACTCAGGGCAGCCAGTTCTCCTGATCCTCTGAGAGCAGCGCTGAAAAAAGGATGTTTGTTTTGAACCAGGGTGCTGCTGGTCCGCTGTAGCGTCACGGTGCGGCTGTAAATGCAAATACTCTTACCTTCTGCAGCATTCAGACTGGAGGACAAAGATGCATGCAAACCGGCGAGCTTAAATTGGCCATCAAATGATATGATTATAGGCTTTTAAATAAAAAATAATTTGTGCAAGATTCATCATGTTGCATGACATAAACCCACTAGCTTTAAATGTATTTTGTCACATCACAAATTGGATGCAGTTATCCCATTTTGACCACTCTTATTGTAAGTCAGTGCAATACACCTGTTAGTTGTGTACTCTCCAGTGTCACAGTTTTGTGCACAATGATGATCAAAAGACACAGTTATACATAAATTACACTTTAGTGTCTATTTTGTGTCATTCACTCAGTGTCACCTGTTTTTCCAACAGGCTGCTCTGCCACCATGATATGTGTACATCCTGCATTCATAGTGGCCTTTCACCTCATCTCCTGCTACCACTGCTTACACTAAGTCAGAATGCAAAAAGTTTACATACAGAAACCTGGGGGGGGGGACAACAAAAAAATGAATCAAAAACACATTATGTGTGTTGTACATTAACTATTGTTCCTAAACATAGCACAGCAGTCCATGTAAGAGAAAATCTAAAGTGTAGCTGTTGTACACATTTAAAAAAAATAAAGATAATAGCAGTAATTCTGGGGGCCTTTCTGTGTGGAGTTCTGTCCCAGTACTGCGGCTTCTTCCTACAGTCCAAACACATGCACGAAAGACTAACTGGTGAAAATAAATTGGCTGTAGGTGTGAACATGCATGGTTGTCTGTCTCTTTGTGTGAGCGTTGTGACGGACTGACGACCTGTCCTCTGTTCCAGTGTAAGCTGTGATGGACTCCAACTCCCTGCAAACCTCTACAAGATTAAGTGGGTGTAGCAAGTAGAGATAATATTATTTCGCTTAAAATGACAGTTTAGTGAACAAAACAGCTATGCAACTGAATATTAGTCGAGTTATCTGTCATGTGGGTAACTTGATGTGATATCTCCTGTCAGTTGTTGTTGTTTGCAGAGGCCTAATGATCATCCATGTCCATGGTATGATTCACAGGTGAGGAACATTGTTGCATTTTCTGTCCTAGTTTCTTGTCTTACAGTCTTTAAAAAAAATGTGTTGTATTGAATTATTTCCAGTGCCACTTTAAATATACTTACAAAGCACCCAGCTGGAAACATTCAAATAGCTGAAAAGAACATCAAAACATTCAACATGTCTGCAGAGTGAACAAACAGCACAGTACCAAGGCAAAGTCAGGGGATATAGTATCAGTTTCACTTGAGAATGATAAAAATAAACAAAAAAAAGTATAGAGGCAGAAACTCCACAGGCTTATGGCAGGCCCTAGACATTTGTGTGGGTGGAGGAAAGACAGAAGAGACCCAGTGATGACCATTTGGCAGAACATGGCATCTCCTGGCAGGCCACTAAGAAACCAATGTGCAAAAGACTGCTCCATACATATTAAAGGCACAAGTTTGGAGAAATTGTGCTATTTCTAAACTGTATCTAATACCTGGAAATATACCACTATATCAGTAAAGCTATGGGGGGCTTTTGGGCAGCTGCTGAAAGCCTCTGAAATGGCTCAAGCTTTGTTCTAACGCACAAAAAGGATTACTGAGCAGTATGCCATTTTAATGAATTTAACACATCAGATTAGCTGTAGCTTTGTGAAGAAGTTTCTCTCTTTTACAACAACCACGTTAAAAAAAAAATATGTTGAGTAATTGTGCATTTTGTATGTATGTGATCGTATTCAACATGTACACACCAGAAAAACATTTAGAGATGCTGATTCTTTCAAAAAAATAAATAAAAAAATGCAACTCTACCGTCTTCTTAAGGATGATAACAAAACAAAAGGCAAAAACAATTCTCCTAATGACAAAGCTGCCTATGGCCGTCTATGCAGTGTGAGCACGTACTGACAAAACAACTAGGATCTCATTTAATAACCACAGGTGTACCCGATCCATTGCATTAGACATTCCATCTTATAATTTGCTTGCTCCCTTATCTGCTACGGGTGACTAAAGAACAAAAACAATGCTAATACCAGCTGACAATTTTGGAGGCATACATCACAGGATCTGTTTATGGTCTGAGACGGTATCTCCAGCTCCAATTAAGCATGCCAGAATGAGTTGCAGTGTGGACCACAGCAGCCCAGCTCAGAGTTATGGATGAGCAGTCACTCTAGCAATGCCTGACCCTGAGTGCTAATTAGATATGACATTAAAATAACATGAGCCAAAGCCAGACTTGTACAGAAATTAAAATGACTTTCGTCTAAGAATCTTCCAATATAACAAACAGGGAAAGACTAATTGGAATTATTAAGGTTGTTTTTGCACTTACACACTTTGTGGCACGAACTAACACAGAATGGAAAAGATTATTTTCTTCCCTATTACTGTTATTGTTGTAGTACCACAGAGATGGGTGGAATATTTGCTTAACAGATACGCTACTTATATTTCACTTCTGATATCGTAATGCAATGTTTGTCATATTACTTTTTTTTTCACAAAACTGCATGTCATAACCTTTTCTAATTATTATTTTGAATGGACTGCAGGAAAGTTAATAGTGTGGAGAATTTATCTTTTCTGTAATGTAACATAGTTCCTGGCTACAGCAATGGGTGGGCCTTAAAAAACACAACCCAACTCTCTTCAGAAAGCAGCATTCAAAATCTTATTTTAATTTGTATATTTACTCCATAAACATTATTACAAAACTCAGCAAGTTACCAATATTACATTATCACCATACAGGCTTGATCACAAATATTTAAAACCTTTGCAACAGTTACAACAAAACAAAAACAAAATAATACTCAAATAATTTACATGAAAATCTATAAAACAGCAAATTGTTCACAAATTATATTTTTTTTTCCAAGTTTTCATTTTTTTTTCTTTGCTTATTTGTGTTTTGCACAGTAACACAACACTCTCACAACAAGATCATGGTCTTATTACAAAACTCCCAACAAAATGTAAATATTTCTAGTTTTTCTGTTGATACTTTCATATTTTGGTTTTTAAAACCAGAAACTTGTCATTGTATATCCTTTCCACTGCCCATAGAGGCGCATAAAAGGTTACTCACACACACAAATACTTCACAGCACTTTCTAAGAAAAATATACACTTACAAAATATGTTACAAATTGGCACACAAAAAATATACAAGATTTTGTAGTGTCAAGAGTTCATTAAGATTCCTTCTGGTAACAACTCTAGACAGTATATATAAAGCTCGGTAATCTTTTAATGAAAAGAGCAAAAGTAATTCCAATCAGTGTCAAAGAATCATGAAGTGAATACATCAAACATAACATTATAATATACATTCATAAAGAGGGTTAGGTACCTAATCTATTTTGCATTTCTTTTTTTGTTAACTCTGGGAAAACAAAAACAAAAAAAAATCGAAACCAAACAGAAAAGAAAAGAAAACAATTGTCAGCTTTCTTAGCACCATTAACATGAGGCAGCTCAACAGTGGCACATTTTGAAAACAAAAAGAGAAAGAAAGAGAAAAAAAATCTATGAACTCAGAGAAGTACATTCAATTTGACAATAGGCAGAAATGAGAGAAGGCAGACTAAATGGGCTTGCAGCCCATGTGGAGCTTCCCATCAGCAGCTTGTCTTGGTCCTAACCCTGATACACTGGAGAAAAGAAACAAAGGATCATGGCAGAGAGGAGAGAAAAAAGAGACACAGAAAGATTGATTATGATTCTTGCCATATGCAAGCAATCAATTACTATAACCTGTGCGTCAGAATTGCCATATCCAGTGTGACAAGGCCTGTTTTTAAATCAATCAATCAATCAATTTGTCTGCACATCTCCATGCAGTCTCATGTAATTACTGCAGTGTTAAAAAATGATCTTATTGTTGAAAAGAGAGAGAAAACATAGGCCTTGTTTGAGTACATATTTGTAGAAGATACTCTTGTAAGCGTTTGATTGGCTCTGCATTTCTCCTGAATTTCCTTTAGCGTATAAAATCAAGTGATTTTACGACTGATTGAACATGATTGTATGGTCCATTTTAAAGTGAATTTCCAGATGTTTATTTCAGAGCTGTGAGGTAGTGAATGAGCCCAAAGTAATTAATAGCAATGGCCTGGGAATACTCTGGATCAGATAGTAGCAATACATGATTTGTTTTTTCAATTTGTGCCCTTATTTAGCCTTAAATTTCTGGTCACAATATTTTCTGCCAGAATATCAACCCATCAAAACTGAGATGACAATTAAAGACATATAGAAAAAAAAGTACCATGTAAAGAAAGAAATTAAATTCAGACATGAAGTGAAAAATGAACCAAATCATCAGAGACTAAATACACCAGTGGTGCAACCCATAAAGTATGGCAGTAGTAAGAAACAAATTACATGAGAATGTCAAGAAAAGTTACTGTTTAAATTACCATCAGGTAAGATAGAAGTAAAATTCCCACATGGAGCGAATGCAAAGACATGCTTTCCTTCATTTACAAGATTACTGATTCCATTTGTACTGAAAACTGCTTTCACATTCACATTAAACCTAACTGCAAAAAATGTCCATTCACGGCTGATGCGTGCATCAGAATCTCTATGAGTAATAAACTGCCTTAAATTTCCAGTACAAACAGCTATTCAGCGAGGCACAGCCCCAAATGACAAATAGTTCCCTTGCTTACCCTCAGACATCTGCACTACACTCTTCTTGGTCCAGAGAAAGCTCGTTTGAACATCTCTTTTTTTCATCTCCTT